TAGTGCTATCTTTTCAATTTTCTTAATTTAATGACCTTCTTTAGGCTAAAGCTATAATATCTAAAGTTTTAACATTTATAATGACATTGAAATTTCAAAATAATGCTCAAACAATAATACAATATAAAAAAAAAAAAAAACACAAGAGCTTGAGACAGTCACAAATACATAACTTATGCATTAATTAATGTGAGAGATCGGACTTGAAAAGGGAAAAATTCCAAAATTTTATTCGGAAATTTTTCAAAAGAAAATTCATTTTTCGTTTTGAAAAGGAAATTTATTTAAATCTCAGAGAAAAAATCCTTTCCATTTTATTACCAGAGGATGAGTGCAATTCTCTTCCCGGAGTCGTTTCCTTTTCCAGGGAACTCAGAATGTGTCACTGAGAACTACAACTAAAAATTCAGTATTGGTGGAAAACCACAATGTGACTTGGAAATAAAGAGGAGACCTCAAGGAACAGTGAGGGGGGGGTCAAAAGTCCGCGAGAATATTCCCTGTGCCCCCGAAAGGATTTATCATCATCGCTCGTCGCCGCGTGCTCCTCCCGAATATCTAGTGTTTCTCCAGGAACACCTACGAAGAACTAACGGATCTCAACTTTCGATAGACTTTAACCACCATCCAAGGCAACAGAGACATTTCCAAGGCTCCTCAACGACTCCACAGACATCTGGAAATCCGTACATAGTGCTTCAGATATTTATAACGACCCGTGATGTTATGTAAGCTCTTTCTCTCCAACTCGATTCTTGCGAAAAAGCTTTAGGGGAAATACTCTTTTGTAGAACTAGTTTAATAAACGAATGTTGTTATTGTTAGAATCGTGTTGGGTGTACTTCCTCAAGCGGTCTCCATCCCAAGTCCAACCGCCTACAGATGCAACTGCTTGTGCGTAATTGCAAACATAACAGTCTCTGTGTCTACCCAGAAGACACAGTGGTCAGTCCTGATAAATTTGTCATTGCAGTCTTCACCGACGTAATGTCGACCCTTCGATCCTGTGGTGCCAAAGCATAGAGGGGGCCCTTCGGCATTGTCACATTAATATTCAAACTCACTGATGATATTTATATAGAAAAGAAGATTTTGCAAATTCTGCTAAAGAAACCATGTTTTTTTCCTATGTAAATTTTTTTATGCCAAATTGCATCATCTTCAAATGCTAGATAGTTCTAAATCTTTGGAAAAATTTTAAAACCTATTTTTGCTGATAATTCAATAATACAGTAGAGCATCAATTATCCGACTCAATTGGGGACTCAGGTTGGTCGGATAACTGAAAAATCGGATAACCGAAAAAAATACATTATTAGTATAGTATATTAGTATATCCCATGTAATTAGTATATCGCTATTAAACAACTTCGCATTGAATTTTCATCGATGTTAAGCCTAACAAATTTTTTTTCTTAAATAATAAGTTTTAAATTATTTTATTGCTCACAAAACAACCACTCATAATTAGAAAATTAAGTCTCATTTAAATACTGGCCGCCTTTTAATGGTCGAGCCATGTTGCCAGCTAAAACACACAAAAATTTAACAAAAATAATATTAAAGTAGCCAAGACATAGCCAAATATTGTAGTGCCACATCACTAGAAGACATTTGAAATTTGCCAACTAGAATGGTCAGTTAACCGATGTGACGGTTAATCGGGGGTTGGATAATCGATGCTCTACTGTATATATTATACTAGTATGTTTTATTGAATGTTCAATAAGAATTTATTTTTTTGATTTGTTTCTTGCTATTTAAATTTAGAACTATTAAGATCATTTATGAAAAATAAAAAAGTACTTATTAAATACTGAAAAAAGGTAAAATTTTAATTAGTTTACATGCTTTATATAAATTAACTTATAGAGATATCAATGAGCTGTAATTAAATATATAATAAATGTATATATATTATACATCATTGTAATGTTCACTTCTGGTCTTATATGTCAAAACTTATTTAATTAAAAATTAACTACAGTAGATCTCAGATTATCCAAACCACTACTTGCCCTCCTTACCATCTCCCATGGACATCACACTGCAATTCTCATATATCATATGAATGCATGAACAGTGACACCTATTTGCTATGACAGATCCACGTGATCAGTAGTATGCTACTTCTACTTTGATCAATAAATAAATACAGTATGTGTACAATACTGTGTTGCTAGCCTCTAATCTCATTCTTTACATATTAATTCACTTAACTAAATTTTCAATTATCCAAATCATCTGCAGAACCATATATTTCTGCACATGTAAGAGCATATTCTTATGTGAAAATTACTTATATTCACAATTTCGAAACACATCCTGCTTCACTTATAAGTGTATACCTTTCATATAACAGCATGCTTTTATATATGCCAATTTGTTTTGACACTGCACTGTCATTTCAATGTAAATATAATGATACAGCAACTATTCAGGGAAAACTAGTATGTATAACCAAATTATTAAAAATAAGAAGTGAAAATAAAAAATTCTTTTGATAAGATAAACATTTTTTTAAAATAATGACTTAGTTTAGATATTTTGTGAAATAGAGATAGAGCAAAATTGGTACTATAAGAGCATGCTCTTTGTGTGTTCAGAAATATGAGAAGTCATTTTTATTTTATTAAACAACAAAATGATTTGCTGTTTATTGATATGACTAATATGATGTCAAGGTTTTATGTATTAAAAGAAAAAATAATTAATTCTTAAAAGGAAGCTGAATACAGTAATACCCCGGACTTACGTGATAGGTGGGACCAAGCGATAACCGCGTAAGTCGAATTTGCATAAGTCGGGGTATAATTTCGCAATTTGTGTAAAATCCAAGTTGGATGTAAGCTAATAAATGCTCTCGTTAATCTTATCTCGTCTTTTGATTCGTTCACGGTTACAAGAAATCACCACATAGAGTCTCTCAATCTCCATAGATATAACAAACACAGAAATAAATAACACAAAATAAATTGTAGCTATGTGTCGATTCCGCGCGACACGTCCGAATATGTAAGCTAAACAATAGTGTGGGGGGAGTGAGTAATCAAGAGTTGCATGGCACTCAAACAAAAGACGAATCAACAAGATTTGAAAATTGCGTAACTCCGAGTTCGCGTAAGTCGAGGTATTACTGTATTTATTCTGATAAGATAAGGAACAAATTTTAACACTTTTCTATGTGTGAATTTTTAAATTTATTTTTGTTTGATATTGATATATTATTATTATTTTAAAAAATTGTTAACTGTTCTATAAGAATTAATGAAACTGAAAATGAAGTTATAATTTCTTCTTCCAGGGACACTAGATGTCCTGCCCTCTAAAGGAAAACAACCAGTAGAAAATTTTCCAAAAATCTTTTCCTAATTAAAATTCATTTTTTAAATTTATATCCTGTGGTGTCTTCTATTTCTATACTAATTATGAATTAGCAGTCACATAATATGAGAATTTTATTATGTTCACATTAAAAAATTTTTTATCCATTCAACTCATCTCCCCCAAAAGTAAATCCTGAGTGTAAATAATAGTTTCATAAAGCAATTAAATCCAAATGCATAAAACTACGGTGAATGTTTATGTTTAAAATCAACTACATAAATTCTTTTGTTGAAAAGCCATGATGTTTTTATATTGATTTATATTTCAGAAAATGTTTAATTTTTAAATGTACTGTTACAGTTGACTGACTAGTAAGTCAATGAATTTTGGTGATGAAACCAATTGGTTTGTTAAGAGAGTTGAATAATCAATATTATTACAAAATATTTAATACCAGTACTATAGAAATAATGTTCCAAAAATTCACATTAATTAAAAAAAAACAAATATATACATAGTTGTATTTAAAAACTATGTATATAGTATGTATGAACACAGTATATGCATAGAAGTGTTTAAAAATACCTCAATCAACATAAAAATTAGCCTATTAATAAATTTACATAATTTTTTTCATTACATAAACCTGTTTACTTTTAAAAGTGTTAACGTAATACATAATAGGTTTTAAGAATTAACAAACCTATTTGATACTATCTAATTCATAAAGATTAACATGGTACTTAACTACTTTTTCTAACAGAAAATTAAGATTATAGGTATATTCTAAAACATCCTAAATTATCTGGGAAATTTATGTTAAATTCTGTTTACGTTCACATTAATGTTGACTGATTTCAATATAATCAAGAAGTTTAAATATCATACAATTCAGTAGCAAACTGGCAAAACCCTCGTAAACATGTTTACTCTAGAGATAAGAAGTTTTTCTTTTCTTCCTGTTTTTTTTTTTATATCTTTTACAATGTCATATGATATTTACAATGAAATTCTGGCCACCATTTTACCATTATTCATATACTGTATGTAAATAACAAATAAATCTGTTATTAAATTTTATGCAATTTCAGCTATTAAGTAATAAAAACATTCAATCCATTAGCTGATTTTTAATTAAAGCCAAATGAACTACCAGAAACAAAAATAATTATTAAACTTATCAAGAGATGGGCCCAATTTCCTTCCTCTAAGCCAAAATTACTTTATAATTAATTATTAAAATCAATCTTATTGAATAATATTTTAGGAATTACNATTGTCAGATACTTTTACATGAAATAAGTAGGTTGTAACTCATTAGATTAAGTCTATAAATAAACTATTAAAAAAAATTTGGCTTTCTGTAAGAATTGCAGTAATGTCTCTAACTGAAAGAAAGTGAAGAAAAATGTTATATACTATATTTAATAAGATCTAGATATAATTATATATAAGCCATATTTAATTATTTCCCATCTTTATAATTATAAATGAGCAATGTTTTGAATTTTTTACTTTTTTTTTTAAATAAGGAATTTAGTCATTAAATGCCTATTTTGTAGGATGTTACCTATATAAATTTCAAAAGCAGTTTATCTCATACATTGATAAAAACTTGAAGATAAAATTGATTTTAAAAATGTTTTAAAAAAAAAAAATCATCAATTTCTTACCTGAGAGATCTGAATACCATATCTGAGCTCGATATACTTTTCCATGTGCCGCTAAGAAATTCCCGGCAAATTTTATGAGCTTTGTCCCTCATTTCGAAACCACTTCGTTTTTTGAATCGGCTGGAAGAGTCGGACATGAAGAAATAAAGAATACAGTATTAATAAATTACTGTACATCCATTTGCCAACGGGGAGCAACTACAATAAATAAACAGTAGTCACACCATACGACGAAAACGAGGCAGACTAGAGCCATTTTTAAAAACGGGGGGGTTAACAGTGTGACTTATAAGGCCTTGATTGGTGGCGATTTATGACGTCGTCTCTACGTATGCGGACGTATTTTAAATTTTAAAAAAATAACAATAATAATAGTAATAATAACCTTTCCTTTTATGACGCTTGTGATAAATATGAATACGAAACAGTGTGTTTGAACTTTATATTTCATTGATACAATAAACTTTTGTTAATTATTGTGTGATTCAAAATGGAATCGGGAATACCGGGAGATTTTAAACAGTTATTAATTTAATAAATATTATGTATAGTATTATATACGTTTTAAAAAAATAATAATTTACAATGTCTATATTTAGGATGTAGTGTACATCTTCATTAAACTGTTTTAATTGCGTAAAAACACTATTTCATCGTGAATATTCAAACGTATTCCACATTATAAAGTGCAAGTATCATATTTTTCATCTGTTTATCAATTATAATTCTATACACACCTACATTTACATATATTATACAGTTGTACTGTACAACATGGCAGTAAAAAATACCTACACGCTAAGTAAAATCTTACTAAAAATTATAATTTTTTATACAGACTTTATTTTTTTTCATCCTGTTGCCTCCGAATTTATACTGTTAATAAATTATTTTATGCAAATTTAAAATATGTTTTTATATTTATAAAATAATTCTATTACTACTGATCAAAATACTCGACTCAAGGTCATAACGATTATAACTTAATTTAGCTATCTACACCTGTACCTTCTGTTTTTGTAGTAAGTAGTGTGATTCAAAATCAATATAGGCCTATATACTGGTATATGTGTGTATATGTATGTGCACGGTATATACTACTGTACAATGGTATAACTACTTCTCAAAACATTTATTCTGTTGAAGACGCAAATCTTCGCTAAACATAAATAAATAATTGTTATCTTACTATAGGAATATCTAGTGATTAATATCATGATGTTTCACAATTTATAAGGGCGTCTCTGATATAGAGAGGGGCCCGAGCCTTTTATCTTTTCGATGATCCATTATCTATATATATAAAATTACTTGTCCTGACTGACTAATTGATTCATCATCGCCCAGAGTAAACCGCTGAACCTTTGTACGCAGTTAGGGTACGTCATGAAAAATACGCACACTAAGAAGGGATTTTTCGAAATTCCCCCGTGAGGGAAGAGGGAGAAGATTAAGGCTTAACATGAGAAACGGCTTTTACTGTACTATTTTAAATGCGATTTTTTGTTTTCAACTACGTTTAGTCTTCATTGAGTACTTAGGTGTATTAAATTGATAACATTTCAGACATTGTTATAAATATTTTTATATATTTCGATTTTTTAACCAAATGTTCGAACCGTTTTAAATTTGAATTTGTTATCGCATATTGGTTCGATTATAGAACGATTGTAAACGTTCCAGAAAATTGATCAAATTGAAAACAGTTCAAAAACTCAAAAAACATAACACCTTAATTTGCTGAGAAAACTTTTAATGAAAAGCTAACGTTTTCAGCCAACTCTATTGGCCATCATCAGGCTAAGCTTTTTCGAATACAAAGAAAATAGAACAAAAATTTTTAAATACAAAAAACAAAATAACGAACGAAATATATATATATATATAAATGTATAAATAAAAATAAAATAAAATAAAAACTCTTATTATAAAATACGTATATGAAAAAAAGCATAGGATAATTAATCATTAAAAACGTAACACAATAATACATTATGCTAAATTCTATAANACAATATCAGTAAGGGATCTAACGCCACAATACTATCGCAAATGGCGCAAGTTGAGGGCTCAATCGTCAAATGGGACGAAGCAAGTATTATTAAACCAGTACATTCACCAACTTTGGCGATTTGCGCAGAAAAGATTGAAATATACAGGAGCAGATTACATGATAAATGCATTAATTCTAGGGATGCTGAAGGGTTGCCTTCCGCCTGGAAATACTTAATCAAGCGAATGGACAGATCTTAATGCCTTGTTTTTAGTGTTTTTTTGCATATCTTGCGGTTTATAGAATTTAGCATAATGTATTATTGTGTTACGTTTTTAGTTTAATTATCCTATGCTTTTTTTCATATACATATTTTATAATAAGAGTTTTTATTTTATTTTATTTTTATTTATACATTTATATATATATATATATTTCGTTCGTTATTTTGTTTTTTGTATTTAAAATTTGTGTTCTATTTTCTTTGTATTCGAAAAAGCTTAGCCTGATGATGGCCAATAGGCCAATAGAGTTGGCTGAAAACGTTAGCTTTTCATTAAAAGTTTTCTCAGCAAATTAAGGTGTTATGTTTTTTGAGTTTATTCGGTCTTTGCTGAGTGAGTGTAATATAGTTGAAAACAGTTCGTTTGACGCTCAGTAATTCTCTTCATTCTCAGCAGTGTTATATAACAATTACTATGATTCTTGAAATACTGAATATAAATGGGGTTTGCTTGCAAAATCCGCGCGGGCGGGGTAACAGCTAGTATTAATTAAAAGCGTTTAATCATTGTATTATAGTTTTAAAATAAGGCCTCATATATGTGAGATTCGTACCAAATGATCTGCTGCTCTATCTTGTTACAGGGCCTGGAAATGAATAATTGATTATTAATATTTTTAGGATCCCATTAATGTGAGATCTAAGCCTGGTCCTGCCAATTCTTCCTGTGATTGGGCTGGGAATAAATAGTTTTTAAGAAATGTTTTTGAGGTTCCATAAATGCGAGATTTGGTCTAGCTGGTCTTCCTGTGAAAGGGCCTGTATGTAATTCACTTATTCTTCCTTACATAAAAATTTATTGTGATATCATCATGCCGGGCTGCAATTTTTAATCATATTTTTAATTTATTTAATTTAAAATATATGCTCTCCATCTCAAATTAGTATAGTCTTGCCTTGTACTCAGTGGCGTAGCGTGGGCGTCAGCCGCCCGGGGCGGAGGAAAATTTCGCCGCCCCCTTATTTAGGTATCAATTTAAAAGACTAAAATTCAGTTTCGTCACAGAATAAGTAATGAAAAATTCCGTGCTAGTGTTGCCACCTTTTTAAAATCGCCGACCCTGACGGCAGGTGAGGTTTGTTCGAATAGAAGTTCCTGACGCATGCGTATATCATTTTGCAATGAAGAATAATTTGCAGTGCATGCTGGTTCTAAATCAGTTAGAGTTAGCGACTAGGGAGACTTGGGTAAAAGTATGTAACGCAAGTAATGTAGATGACTTGGCCCTATTGGATATTGAATTTTTTTGCTTGTAAGAATTGATCGTACAAGAAAAAAAAAGGGCGACAGGTTGCGCACGATATACCCGGACGGCGAGTCAGATTCCCACTATTACGTGCTCATTTCAATCGGTCCGAATCGTAGGTGGACTAAAATATGAAATAAAATGGTTCAAATTCTTACAAGATATTATTATTATTTATTGTCAAATTTTGCCGCCCCCTAAAAAATGCCGCCCGGGGTGGGCCGCCCCCCTACGCCACGCTACTGCCTGTACTGTACATCATACTTTTCCTTTAACAATAAAGTCACACCAGTCATCTATCTAACACTTTTCAGAGAAAAATTTGAGTTGAAATGACATGACTTCCGGTTTGCATCGGGAGTTCGTATACAGGCATACCTCGACTTACGTCGTTTCGAGTTACGTCGTTCCCGATTATACGTCGCTTGTTAAAAAAGTATATGGAAAAATAAAAATCAAGTTTAAGTCATTTTATTCGACTTTACGTCTGTCCGCCACAAATATTGAAGTCGTAATATCACTAGATAAACGTTTAAAGCACATAAAATCATATTAAAATATATACAAGTATGTACTGTATTTACAGTACATGCATTCGTAAATTTAGATTATTTTTTTTGTACTATATTAAAAACTAAAATTTATTTGTTTGTAAGCTTAAAATAGATTTTTATTAACCATATATTATTTAAAATGCTTTCCTAGTGATAAGTAGATTCGGAGACAGGTAAATTCGACTTACGTCGTTTTCCTGGAACCAATTACCGACGTAAGGCGAGGTATACCTGTATAGTTAGTTGGGTCCTTCTGCCCCTAAGGTCTCCATATCTGGTCTTGGATTTCATCTAAGTCCATTCTTGTGATTAAGGAAAACAGATAAATGGACAATGGACGTACAACAGTGGGAATTTATGTCTATAGTTTTTTCAAATTTCAGTCTAACAACCTACGTAACTACAGTATTTACTAACTGGAGTTGGATATAAATATATAATTACAGTGCAAAAATAAAAAAACTTTCCAAATAAAGCGGTGATTTTAGAGGCCTAAAGTTTATATCCTAAAAATGTAACATAGTTTATTAGCTTTTAAATGGTGTTTTATTGTTTAGAATGTTTCTATATGAAAAAAAAATCAGGTACATTGAAAATCAAATTTTGAGAATTCAAAAACAGAATTATCTGAAAACAGTTTAATATTGATTAAATTTATAGTATAGGTAATCCATGACGTGCGCGAAATCTGAAAAAAGAAAAACGTCACGCGAAAGGATAAGTAATAAATGCACGATGCGGTACTCATTTACATACACGCCTGTTCATATACAGTACCTATAGTTACTATTGCAATATTCATAATATCTGTACGTGTAATAAACTGCAAGATTGAGAATGTAAGCTGAACATTAGTGTTGGGGGAGTGAATAATCAAGAGTTGCGTGGCGCTCAAACAAAAGACGAATCGACGAGATTTGAAAATCGCGTAAGTCGGGGTAGCGTAAGTCGAGGTATTACTGTATTTATTTCTGTGTTTGTTATATCTACCGAGACTCGAGAGACTATGTGGTAATTTCTTGTAACCGTAAACGAATCAAAAG